GATGAGGGAGGAGTCATCAGTGAGGTTCCTTAGGGCGAGTTGACCGATGAGGCGGTAGGGTCGCATACTCGACCCGTTCCCTTAACTGTTTGGCAGCATCATAAGGAGTCCGAGATGGGACAGTTTGCAGTGCTCCAGAAGGGAAGTGAGACCTCGACCATTCGAATGCAACACTTTAATGAGGACTTAAACTCAGAAGGTCTTTGGGTCGGGCTTGTTCTCCTGGATGAAACCTGAGAGAAAGTGCTTCGGACCCAGTCATTAATCAACAACGAATCGCTCGGTACTACAGTAGCAAGATCCACCCCAAGAGGCTCAGCGCGGGTGACCTCATCCTCCGTAAAGCCACTTTTAACAAAGATACCTAGAGAGGCTAGTTAGCTCCTAACTAGGATGGCCCGTACACAGTACTCGAAGAGTTACAAGAAGGAACTTATCGGCTAAGAGCCCCGGATGGAAGAATCCTGTAACACCCCTGGAATATTGAGCATCTAAAAAAAATACTTTCAATAATTCAGTACAAAATTTCATTCATTATAAATGAAGTCTTTTGAAACTAACTCTTGTGTCGTACTCTCATGGTTCCAAATCTATGCAGGAATCCTAAGCCCTTAGTGCCTTCTTAGGGTAAACCTACCTAAGGCACACATGCTCTCCTACATTTATAACTCAACCACTAATGGGGCGAAAAGACCTAGGCATCATCATTAAGACCTAGGCATCCAACATCCAGGTTGTCATTTTGCTGAAAAGACCTTGAGTCTTTTTGGCAAAATAACAACCCAGAGGTTAGGTGCCTAGGTCTTAATGAAGACGCCTAGGTCTTTTCAACCAAATGACAACCTGGGGTACCTGGGTCTTAATAAGGATGCCTATACCTTTCTGACAAAATTACAACCTGAAGGTTGGGTGCCTAGTTCTTAATGAGGACGCCTATGTCTTTTTGGCAAATAACAACCTGGAGGTTAGCTGCCTAGGTCTTAATAAGGCCACCTAGATCTTTTTGGTAAAATGAAAATCTGGAGGTTGAGTGCATAGGTCTTAATGAGGACGTCTATGTCTTTTCGGCAAAATGACAACGCGAAGGTTGGAAACCTAGGTCTTAATAAGGACGCTTAGGTCTTTTCGGAAAATGACAACCCGGAGGTTGGGTGCATAGGTCTTAATGAGGATGCCTAGGTCTTTTTGACAAATGACAACCCGGAGGTTAGGTGCCTAGCTCTTAATGAGGACGCTTAGATCTTTTCGGTAAAATAACAACCCGAAGGTTAGAGAGGTTAGGTGCCTAGCTCTTAATGAGGACGCTTAGATCTTTTCGGTAAAATAACAACCCGAAGGTTAGGTGCCTTGGTCTTAATGAGGACACCTAAGTATTTTTGACGAAAAAACAACCAGGAGGTTAGGTGCCTAGTTCATCAAATAACCAATATAGTAGGGGTGAGGTTGGTTAGGGGCCGCCACATCTCCGAATATTTGGTTTTGAGTTGAGTAGATTCTTCAGCCTGCACAGATAGCAACTCGTGAGAGGACTAGGACTAAATCCCCCATGATTCCTTCGACGATCAAGTCAGTTGATGAACTTGGGTGTGATAATGAAGAACTATGTGAGTTCTTTAGTGTAGTGTAATAGAATAATCAGATATTGCTAAGGGAATAGCTTGGAAAACCCCCCTCCTCATGTTGAGAATTGTATCTCTATTAATAGGGGTGCTGAAAGGGTAGAATAGTTATTTCAGCCGAGCATGTTGAGAATTGTATCTCTATTAATAGGGGTGCTGAAAGGGTAGAATAGTTATTTCAGCCGAGCACAAGATGGCAACAAAGAAGTATGGTATGGTAGGGGTGCTGAAAGGGTAGAATAGTTATTTCAGCCGAGCACAAGATGGCAACAAAGAAGTATGGTATGGCGACTGCTTCAGCACCTACTTTACAAGTATCGCTCGATGAATGGAGGAGAGATCAACTTGGCATTTAAGGAGAGGTGATGGGGGGCGTGGTGGTGTCGACATGTCGCGATGTGTCATCAAGGATATCGAGGCTAGAGGAATGATGACGCCTGCCAAACATTTAATGTGAAGCTGATGGGCTGTCAGTGAAAGAGGCTCGATGTTGAAGTCGTCCTTTAGCTTGGTTGAGAAGTAATGCCTCTCGAGTCGAACTTGCAAGGTGTCAAACAACTGGTCGAGTGGGCTTGTAAAGAGTCGTCTTCAATAAGAGGACCAAGAAGTACCACCGTTCCAGTCAATCTAAGGAGATGTCGACTCGGCGTGTCATCTAAGTCAAGATTCTTGGTTGCCTTAGCCGTCATTTTGTTTGAATGTTGCATGTAGGGGGACACCTGTTCGTTGCTAGCAAAGGGTCATACTTTGTATATCATAGATATGTATATTCATAGATGCCTTTTCCTTTTTTTTTTTGGTCAATGAAATTTTTTTATTCATTCACCAGTGAAAGAGATTTTATGTACAGCAAGATACTCAGTTTTTTGTTAACCGAGATTGCAAGAATACAAAAAAAAAACAAACCTTACAACATCAATAGACAATCATCTCTATTATTTAGTATGGTACTATTAAGGATAATTGTTGCTATATCAATCTTTATTACTCTCACCAGCTGCTCTTCTTTCCTATTTTGCTGCTGAAAAAGATTTGAATTTCTCTCTCTCCAAATGCTGTATATCGTAGCATTCAAAGCTAGTCTTTTAATCCTTTGCTTTGCTCCTTTTCCCCTTAGTCTAGTATTAAACCAGACCTGAAGCTGCTGCCAGTCAGATGATCTCCATTCAAAACTCAACCATTCCATAATGTGATTCCAAACATTGCACGAAAAAGTGCACTCAAAAAATAAATGATCTCTAGTCTCCAAGTAAGAACCTGCACACATGCTACATGTATTAATAGAGATGATACCCCTTTTCATTAGTCTATCCTGAGTTAGCAGCTTGTTCTGGACTGCTAACCAGTGAATAAAAGAATGCTTAGGGATAGATAAATCATCCCAAACTGTTTTGTACCACAAAACCTTGCTACCAGCAGGGGCGAGAGCTTCATATAGAGCTGAGAGTTTAATTTTTGAACCCTGACAGCAAGAGATAATGAGTTCTTTTAGTTTTCCAACTCCACCACAATAGGCAAGAGCTTTATCTCTCATTTTCAACAGCTGCTTCCATAACCAAGAATCACTCTTCTAAGCACAAACTTGCCAGATATTTCCTTGTTTGAGATAACTCTCATGAACCCATTTGATCCAAAGAGATTCTTTGTTTTCAAGAATATACCAAATAGATCTAAGAGCAGAAGCAAAATTCAAAAGTGTTGCAGAAAAAATACCCAAGCCACCTATACTTTTACCCTATTAGACCTTTTCCCATGAAACTAGTGGTGGCTTCCTGCGAGCTTGGTCTGTTTTTCCCATAGAAAGTTTCTACACATTTCATCAATCTTATGCAGGACACTTGTAGGGAGGATATAGGCAGATGTCCAATAGATTTGAACTCCCAAGATGACACTTTTAATAATCTGGAGCCTGCCCGCATATGAGAGATTCCTATAGTTCATCCAACTATGAAATTGTCTAGATATTTTAGAGAAGAGAGGCCCGCAGTCCAGGAAAGATTACCTATTAGAAATGAGGGAAAACCCTAGGTATTTTATTGGCAAAACTCCTTCAGTAAAGCCCAAAAGATTTGCTATAGAGGTTTTTACAGATAACTCTAGTCCCCCATAAAGCACAGAACTTTTTTCAGGGTTTGCAACAAGTCCTGATATTGCACTAAACTCCTTAACACATTGTTGCAGCTTTTTCACAGAAACAATAGGAGGTTATCTACAAAAACAAGGTGAGTAATCTTGAGCTTGTTACATCCTGGGTGAAATTTGAAGAGCCTGTCATTCTTTAAGGAATTCAACATCCTAGAAAAGTATTCCATTCCCAGTATAAAGAGGTAAGGAGAGAGGGGGTCACCCTGTCTCAATCCACGTTTCCCTTTGAAGTACCCATGGAGGGAGCCATTAAGAGAGATTGAGTACTTTGGAGTAGAAATACATGTTTTAATCCAGTTTATCATGACCTCAGGGAAATTCAGCCCTTCTAGCATGTCAGTAAGAAAACTCTAGCTGATAGTGTCAAAAGCCTTCTTAATATCAATATTGAGCATAACTCTTGGTGATATATGTTTCCTATTATAGCTTTTAATAAGTTCATGCGCAAGAGATATATTGCTAGAAATCTATCTGCCTTTGACAAAAGCACTTTGTGCTTCATCCACTAGGTAGCCCATAACTGATTTTATCCTGTTAGCTAGGACTTTAGAAATGAATTTGTATAGGCAATTATAGCAGGAAATTGGCCTGAAATCTGCAGGAGTTTTTGGGCATTGTACCTTAGGAACCAAGGTAATGGAAGTGGAATTGACAGTGCCCAGTAGCTTTCCATTTCTGAAGAAATCCCCTATAGATTTTAAAATATCTTCACCAATGATAGGCCAAGCTGTTTTGAAGAAAGAAGCACTGTATCCATCAGGCCCTGGTGCTTTGTTATCAGACATGGAGAGGATAGCCTCTTTAACTTCCTCTTTAGAAATAGGTTTAGATAAATCCCTGACTTGAGTTTCAGTCAGACAAGGCACAGTTTTGATAATATTCCTGTCAGGGGGAGAAGTAGCAACAGAAGTGCCCAACAGGCTAGTAAAAAAAGAAATAAGCTCATTAACAATCTCCCCCCCCATCAGTAATCCTGTCCCCTCTACTGTTATAAAGAACACCCACATTATTGTTATGTCTGTTCTTATTGACAGCAGCATGAAAAGAACTTGTGCTTCTGTCACCAAGCACACTCCAAGCTATTCTTGCTTTTTGCTGATAGAATGATACTTCACAGTCCAGCAATTTGTTGTAAGAAGAAATTTTTTCTTTTTCTCTCCTGATGAGTATAGTGTCTAGAGGGTTATTTTAAAGTTTTTCCTGAGTATCTTCCAAAACTAGCTTTGCTCTTTGAACCTATTCACTAATATTGTAGAAATGTCTCTTGTTTAGCACTTTCAAGGCTTCTTTCAGCATTTTGAGTTTGGTGCATACAGAGTACATTGTGCATCCTTGTATATCTGATTCCCAGATATTAGAAATAGTAGGCAGATAATCAGCATGTTTGGTCCACATCTTGAAGAATTTAAATGATTTTTTTCCTTGCAAACAATCCTCATAGATAGAAATCAGGCCTGGGGAATGGTCTGAAAAATGAGGTAACAAATATTCTGCATAACTTGAATTATAAGCAGTAATCCATTGATCATTCACTAGAGCTCTGTCTAGCCTACTCCACACTCTTGCTTCTGCCTCTTGCTTATTATTCCAGGTATAAAAGCAGCCTAGAGTTTTCATATGGTTTAGGTGACAGTCTTTAATGCAATTGTTGAAGTCCCTAGTATCTGAGTCAGAAAGGACTGCACCACTAAGCTTATCATCTTTATCAATCATTACATTAAAGTCCCCACAGATGAGCCAGGGAACATTTCCTATTATTTCCTGAATTTGAATTAAATCTGCCCATAATTCTTTTCTGCCCTCCGTTTGATTGAAACCATATACAGATGAGATGACACAATCCAGCCTCCCATCAAGAGATTTAATTGCACAAGTAATTTGCTGGTCTGAGATATTTACATCCTGAGTATCCAGAATTCTATGATCCCACAGAATAAGAATCCTAGCTTTAAAGGAGTTTCTGACATTTGACAACCATTTCCAGTCATTTGCAATCCTCTTGGCAGAATTTGATAATTTTGATTCTTTTATTTTGGTTTCCAGGAGAGCTATGAAAGAAAGATGATATTGCAACAAAATTTTTTTAACCAAGAGCTGTTTAGAGGATTTATTCAACCCCCTAATGTTCCAAAAAGACAAATTCATCTAGAATAGTCCCCCATACCAATAACAGAGGGATCAATATCTGAGCAACTGGAAAATAATGGAGATGCATTTTTTTTAACTCTGGACCCTTGAACAAGTATCCAAGAATTATCATCATTTTTTCCAGAACCAATTATTTGCTTTGAACTAGTTTCAGATTGCTGTGCACATTCTTCAACATGCACAGCCTGCAATAAACCAGACTTGCTGCTTATTTGTTGTATATCAACTCCATTTCCTAAAGCATGCACCACATGAGCTTGTTGCATATAGTTAGGCTCCTTTTCAGTCAGTTTTGCACCAGACTGTATAATACTGCTACTATGCTCATTCAGGTTCTCATCATGCACAACATGCACAGAAAACCTTTCAGGCTGGAAATCATTGATACTGTTACCATTATTTCCAGAATATTGGATAATCTCTTTTCCTTTATCAACAGATTTTATTTGAGCAATATCATGCTCATCTAGTGGGTTCAAGTTGTTCTCAGGTTTATTTTCATTGATAACAACTTTGCTTTTAGGCACCCATCTTTGTATTCCAGTTTACCTCTTGCAATAGTTAGTTTCATGTCCCACTTGTTTAAAAAAGTCACGCCATCTAGGTTTTAATTCATAGATCACCTTCTGAATAATATTTTTCCCCTTTGGTCCCTGAATGGAGATATGATCTGGAAGAGGAGATGGCATACTAACCTCAACAAGGACTCTAGCATATTCTAGCCTCTGCCTGCTTGCAGTTAGCTTATCAGTGGCAATAGGTCTGCCAATAAGACTAGCTATTTTACTAATACATTTAGCATTCCACAGGTTTAATCTCAGACCTGGTAACTGAATCCACATTGGATATAAGCAGTCATTTCTTTTACCTATCTCTTCATCAATCGACCAGGGTTTAAGAAGAAGTGATCTAGATCCAAAGAACCAAGGTCCACTTTCCAGAATAATCATCATATCTTCTTTGCTTTTGAATTTGTATAAAAATAGCCCTAGTTTAAGAATACAGATCTTAGGCAAAGCCAAATGTGACCAAACTTTTTGAACAAAAGCTTCCATAGCTTTAAACTTGATATTTATCCCCAGTATTTGACCAATAAGTGCAGAATCCCAAATAGATGCATCTTCATACCATTCATCCTCCTCAAAAATCACTATATCTTTTTCATTAGGGGGTACAAAATTCAAATCTAGGCCACAACCAAGCTTTCTATTGTCAGAAAAGAAACTAACCCAGCTTTTCTTGGCATTGCTATTAGCAGGGACTGAATTTTTGAAGACTTTTCCAGACTCCAAGGGTGGAAAATCCATAAAAACTCCGTTAGTATTATCATTCTTTGATTCATTTTGTCCATCTGAAGAGACTTCACCAGGTATTTTCTCAACAGAAACTAAAGGAACCGTAACTTTTTCTGAATCCGATACTGAATTCAAGAGATTAGAGTCCAAGATTCTTGGAGATTTAGCAGAAAGATGTTGAGAAAAAAGGAACTCCTCAGAATCATTTGCATCAGCCCAAGAAAAACTACCAGATCTATGAGATTCAGAGGGCAGAGACTTACAGAGCAAACGAGATTTAACCCCAGCCATCGGAGGAGAGACCAGAGGAAGGGAATTTACAATGGAGCTTGAAGAGTTTAAGATTTCCGCCATAGATTTCCTCAATTTCTCCCCCTTTGGTCCCGTTGACCCCATAGCATTGAGATCAGATTCTTCATCATCTTCAACAAAGCTGGTATCAGATTGATCCTCAGGAGTTACAAGATTAGAATTCGAAGATCTTAATCCAATACTAAAGATCTTACTCCCACTTATTCTCTTCTTTTTTCCCATCAAGAATCATGGTGGGGGCACACGTTAGCAACACAAGAATCGCCCGCTAACGTGCACCATAAAAGAACCGCCAAAATTTAACACATCCTGCCAACTGTTTAGCTTAGATATTTCAAGACCTAAAAGAAAGTCATATTTGTACAATAGGAAATAATACTTACTTGCAACAAACTTCCGTTTGGTTTTTTGTGTCAATGCCAAGATTGTAATACAAACAACAACTTGATCTCGTGGTAAATATTTTATCTTTTCCTATTAGGGGTGATTGGAATGCTGCAATTGTTTATACAGAATTTTCATGAAAGTAATGCTGCAATTGTAAATAAACCATATGCAGGAAATTAATGTTGCAGTTGTAAATACAACATTTGCAGGAAAGTAACACTAAAGCAGTCGTTTGGATATTTATATACATTGTTTGGATATACATACTTTTATTGTAGGAAATCTATTTTCAAATTTGCTACAGAAAGATTTATAGATTATTTCTGTAAGATACAAGTCTATTATCATTTTCTGGAAAGAAATTTGACTGTAATATTTGTTACCCTTCTATTTTCTGCGAACTAAACAACCACTTAGTTCATTATAATATATTTAAGATCAATTACTTCAACATCAAGTGTCTTACACACTGCAAATAAAGATTTATATATCATCAACACTACAAGAAAACTCTCTTGCTACTCATGTAGGTAATAAAAATCTCTTTTATATTTTCCATGAGTTTTTAGACACCCATGGCATTGTATCTAACTCTAGTCACTAATGGAATTTCTCAGGAGTACTCTAAAAAGTAATGAAATTTATATAGGCCTTTTTTCCCGCTAACGACAAGGTTCCTTGCATCGGCAAATGTTGCGGCTGATGCAGTGACCATGCCCGCCGTAGTAATGGTGCTTGCAGTACTTGGCACACACCGGTGTCTTGCATTGCGGACTTTCAATCTCCCACGTGCACTCACATCCTGGAGGGAAGGGTTCCGATGGACATTGTCCCATCGCTTCTCTCACGTTCATCATCCCTGCCATAGACTCA